AAACATCTCTACTTTATTAGCAAGAGTATGAATACTTGTCACATTACGTAATGAGTGAAATCAATCTATGTGTCCCTGTAGCGCAGTGGATAGCGCGTTGGACTTCTAATCCAAAGGTCGTAGTTTCGAATCCCACCAGGGATCAAATATCTGTGCATATATTTCTTTTAACATTACTACTTTATTAGCAAGAGGTTGAATACATGTCACATTATCTAATGAGTGTAGATAGTTATTGCGTCCCTGTAGCGCAGTGGATAGCAATTTGGACATCTAATCCAAAGGTCTTGGGTTCCAATCCCACCTGGGATGATCAAATATCTGTGTGCATATATTTGTTAAAACTTTAATAACCTATTAGCAAGAGGATGATCACATATCATATTACCCAATGAGTAAAAGTAGACGATGCGTCCCTGTAGCGAAGTGGATAGAGAATTGGACTTCTAACCCAAAGGTCGTGGGTTCGAATCCCACCAGGAATGATCAAATATCTGTGCATTTATTTTTTTTTAACATTACTACTTTATTATCAAGACGCTGAATACTTGTCGCATTAGATAAAGAGTGAAATTTATCATAGCGTTCCAGTAGCGCAGTGGACAGCGCGTTGGACTTTTAACCCAAAGGTCGTAGGTTCGAATCCCACCAGGGATGATGAAATATCGGTGCTTTTAATTTCTTTAAACATTACTACTTTATTAGCAAGAGGATAAATACTTGTCGCATTACCTAATGAGTGAAAATAGTCATTGCGTCCCTGTAGCGCAGTGGATAGCGCATTGGACTTCTAATTCAAAGGTCGTGGGTTCGAATCAAACCAGGGATGCTCAAATATCTGTACAATTAATTTTTTTTAAACATTACTACTTTATTAGCAAGAGTATGAATACTTGTCACATTAGAAAAAGAGTGAAATTTGTCATTGCGTCCCTGTAGCGCAATGGATAGCGCGTTGGACTTCTAATGCAGAGGTCGTGTGTTCGAATTCCCCCATGAATGATCAAATATCTGTGCATTAAGTATTTTTAAACATTACTACTTTAGTAAGAGGATGAATACTTGTCACATTACCTAATGAGTGAATTTAGTCATTGCGTCCCAGTAGCGCAGTGAATAGCGCGCTGGACTTCTAATCCAAAGGTCGTGGACTCGAAAACCACCAGGGATGATCAAATATCTGTGCATATATATTTTTTACATTACTACTTTATTAGCAAGAGGATGAATTCATGTCACATTACACATTGAGTGAAATGATTCTTTGCGTCCCTGTTGCGCAGTGGATAGCGCGTTTGACTTCTAATCCAAAGATCGTGGGTTCGAATCCCACCAGGGATGCTCAAATATCTGTGCATTTAATTTTTCTTAAATATTACTACTTTATTAGCAAGAGGATGAATACTTGTCACATTACCTAATGAGTGAATTAATCTTTGCGTCCCTATAGCGCAGTGGATACCGCATTCGTCTTTTATCCAAAGGTCGTGGGTTCGAATCCCACCAGGGATGATCAAATATATGTGCATTTATTTTTTTAAACATTACTACTTTATTAGCAAGAGAATGAATACCTGTCACACATTACCTAATCGGTGAAATTTTTTCATTGCTTCTCTATAGCGCAGTGGATAGCGCGTTGGACTTCTAATCCAAAGGGCGTGGGTACGAATTCAACCATGTATGATCAAATATCTGTGAATTATTTTTTTTTAAACACTACTACTTTATTAGCAAGAGAATGAATACCTGTCACGTAACCTAATAAGTGAAATTTGTCCTTGCGTCCATGTAGCGCAGTGGATAGCGCGTTGGTCAAATATCTGTGCATTCATTTTCTTTTAAACTTTACTACTTTATTAAAAAGAGGATGATTACTTGTCACATTACCTAATGAGAGAAATTAGTCATTGCGTCCATGTAGTGCAGTGGTTAGCGCGTTTTACTTCTAATCCAAAGGTCGTTGGTTCGAATCCCATCAGGGATGATCAAATATATGGGGGTTTATTTTTTTTAGACAATACTACTTTATTAGCAAGACGATGAATACTTGTCACATTACCTAAAATGTGAAATTTGTCGTTGCGTCCCATTAGCACAATGGATAGCGCGTGGGACTTCTAATCCCAAGTTCTTGGGTTAAAATCCCACCAGGTATGATCAAATATCTGTATGCTTTTATTTTTTTTAACATTACTACTTTATTAGCAAGACGATGAAAACTCTTCACATTACCTAAAGAGTGAAATTTGTCATAGTGTCCCAGTAGCGCAGTGGATAGCGAGTTGGACTTCTAATCCAATGGTCGTGCGTTCAAATCCCACCAGGGATGATGAAAAATCTTTGAGTTTATTTTTTTTTAGACATTACTACTTGATTAGCAAGAGGATGAATACTTGTCACATTACCTAATGAGTGAATTTGGTCATTGCATCAGTTTAGCGCAGTGGATAGCGCACAGGACGTCTAATCCGAAGGTCGTGGGTTCAAATCCCACCAGGGATGATCAAATATCTGCTTATTTGTTTTTTTAAACATTACTAATTTATTAGCAAGAGGATGAATACTTGCCACATTATCTAATGAGTGAAATTAGTCATTGCGTCCCTGTAGCACAGTAGATAGCGCATTGGACTTTTAATCCAAAGGTCATGGGTTCGAATCCCACCAGGGATTGTCCAATACCTGCGCATTTATTTTATTTTAAGCATTACTACTTTATTAGCAAGAGTATGAATACTTGTCGAATTCAGTGTTGCAAGATCTTGCGAATTTTGTTACTTTTTAAAACATTCCGGTATTTTTTTTCCTATTGTTACTTCGCGAATTTTATGCTACTTTACTTGAAGATGCAGCAATTTTTTACTACTTTCAATCATGTACAAAATTATTGGAAACTGTTTCAGAAAAATCGCCCAAATAAATAAATAAAATAAAAGTTTAGTGGACTATAGTCCATTAGAAATCGTAAGGTTGCGGTATGTTTCCAAAACGACACGAAACGCTGCAATTTCTCCCCCCTCCCACACCACCACCACGAATTGGGGCCTATCTAAGCAGGAAACTCCTCTCTCGCCACTCTTTTCCGCTGTAAGTGGTAGAAAAAAAATAGTGCCAGTCTTTCTAATCCAGATAGAACCATGAAAATGAAACATGAAATATTCTTAGAAAATAGGCTTGGAGAGAATTTCTACATAAATATTAAACTGGAAAAGTAATTGTGAAAGGATAAATTATTAAAGAACTAAATAAATTGTATAATTATCATCAACGGTTTTACATTGAATTAAAGAATAAAAATCTGTTTTTGTAATTAACTTTTTGCAGAACTTGACTTATAAAAAATTGCATGCAGTGACAAAAGTAAACACTCGTCATCTAAGAGGATTATGTGATAAAAATCTGATTAAATCCCTTTTAAAGGGTTTTTTGCCTTAGTGGTTCAGTGGTGTAACGTACACCCTCGCATTGCGGATGGCCCAGTGATTCTAGGGGGCTCAAATCCTATTTGACGCCAAGTACATATTAGGGCTTTGGGTCCCAAAGCTAACATTGCAAGGAGCCCTAATATTCTCCGTTACGCCACTGCCTAGATCCCTCTCTTTCAAATCAACTACTTGTCTTACTATTGCTTTACATAAGTTATTACAAGGATAGAATTAAGTCTTGTTAAATTACAGTTACCAAATTTAGAAGAATTTGAGTGGATTAATTTGCTCTTTAAAGTTATGTTGATCATTGCAAATTATTGAAGATCCTTTAAGAAGAATCATTTACTCTCAATATGTGAATCTCGAAGTTGAAATTAGTTTAAAAAACAAATATTTACCTATCGAAGTACTTTATGGATATATTTCTGAATAAACTAACCAGAAATTTCACAATTTCTACAGAATCTGTTAAAGAAATCTATGAGATGTAAAATTTTCTCAAAATATTTTGTGTGAACAACTTTTAAACCAATCCCATCAAATTACTGAGCTTTAAAAAAGATAAAGAATCTTTCCCCTGATATTTTTTAAAATTCTAATTGTCTTTTTTTTTATTATTATCTGCCCTTAGATCTAGCAGACCAATCTAAATAATATATTCTGAAGAATAAATAAGGACAAATTTTTAACATAAGTTGAAAGATGTTTTTCGATCTGAATCTGNCGCAAACACTGTCAAGGTCCTTTTATTGCATTCTAAAGCCTTCGGAATAATTTTATGGATAGCAGTGCACAGAAAAGATTGTGCTTCGGAAAGACTTATATTTACTTCCAGAAAATTAATACTTTGACTGAGCGAGACGTTTATATATGTCGGTGGCACTTAAGAGGTTGGATTCGTATTGTAGATTTAGCGTCAAAGTATAGTATTATTGCATTCAATACACTGTTATTGTATGGAGGGGAGCGCGATGAAAATTATGAGAGAATATTGGGTCGCGAATATTGAAAAGTTGTGTGTGAGAAGCACTGACCTAATTATTTCTCCAAAACATATGGCTTAACCACTAAGCATTTCTGATCTCAGATCATTATATTTAATAGCCCTATATGTCAGCATTGACTTTAAAGTAAGCTCATTAAATCGTAGATAATTCTCACATCTGGCTTAAGTGGTAAAACACTTAGATTTCACTTTGGCGTTCTTTTTCTCTTTCTCAGCGTCAGAACTTGTATAGATTTCACCAAATAAAGATGTTTTTTTAAAACTTAAGACTGATTCTGGCTCGAAACATGTCATATATATATATATATATATTGTTCAAGTATCCAGTAGTTAATAAAATGTTTTCCATTCATCTATTGAATTTCAAATACATTTTATTAAACTTGCAGTGGATGACACTTAATGCAATTATAGTTTATCAAATATGAATTCATTCATTAAATAAAAAATTAAAGAAATAGTAATAAGCAAAACAAATAGACCAGCAACGTATATAGTACGAAAAATCTTTCATTGTACTCCCTGTAGCGCAAAGGAGAGCGGGTTGGACTTCTAATTCAAAGGTCGTGGGTTCGGATCGCACTTGGGTGGCCTAATTTCTGACAATGGGATTTCTTTTTACTATACTATATTATTGAAATAAGTAAATTTAATGAATTAATAAATAGTAACAAACAAAAAAAAATAGTAAGTACTATATAGTAAGAAAATGGAAATTGCAAGGAAAATCGCTTTTTATTTTGAAGTTTAATATTTAGATCATGTCATATGTATATACATATTTATATTAAATGAAACTATTTAATGAAAAGTAACCAACTTAAAAATTTTCCTGATTGACCTAAGTAGTAATTGATTTTACTTTTCTTAATATTACTTGTTATTGCTTACATGGGTACACCTAAGTAAAGGGATATGTATGATCTAAATGTAAAAATATAGTCAATATGTATACTTTCCCTAGTTTGTAGTAGCTTTCACATTTACCCTTTTATTTGTTTCAATTCGCAGGAATTTTTTACATTATTATGTCAATTACGTTTCTTTAGCAATACCTTGTACCGTCACGCAGTAATTTTGCAAATTTGCAAAGAAATAAAAAGAAAAAAGAAAAACACTTTATAGTAGTCCTCTTAGATGTAGTCAAGAAAAATAGTTATATATTTTTTATCCATTATTTTTTAAAAGAGAGAAATTGATTATATAGCATTACAGGTTTCACAATAGTGAAATATGAAATGAATAGTAGTTCACTGAATCTCAGGTGATTCAGATTTGGATTATTTCCCATATTACTATATTGCATGATGATGAATGATTATACATAGTTGTTACGATATGGATATTTAAGACATTTTATTATGCTTTCGATAGCATTTCAATACACTCTTAAAAACCTATCCACATGATTTAAATTCATAACACTCTTTAATAATACCTGCTTTGCACTCTATTTCCACAAAACTCGTTCTTAGAAGATCGCTCTTCTACAAAAGAAACATGTCTGTCAAATCCCAATCTTACAGGTATAATAGTATTGAATATGCCATGATAAGAGAGAAATAACCCCAAAGCTCTGAAAAAATAAAGCCTTATAAATGTTTTAAGGTTTTTTTAACTCTAGGCATCAACTAGAATATATTTATGGTGCAATTGCATATTCGCATTTATTTTTATTTCAACAACAAATAAAAAAGTATGTCTTTGGAACATTTTATATTTTCTTTTTGAAAG